ACACACACACACACACACCGAACGGGACAGGACAGGAGCAGAAGGAGGTTCTGAAGGAGACAGGCCAATTTCAAGGTGTTTAGAAGAGGAAGTGATGAGAAGATAAGTTTATTTTCTATTTAAACATAAAAACAGCATTTTAATAACAACTAAAGGTGACATAGATACTTTATTATGGTATAGTATTTAAATATACGCCTGAGAATCACATAATATTGGCCCTTTAAGATTTAGCCTTTTTTGAGTCTGATAAGGACACATAGCTGTGGTGGTCATCTTAAATTTAGTTGACTCCAAAAGTTATTTGGTTGTAGATCTACATCTATTCAACTAAATTGCTCCGGGGGGACTCAGTTACTGCAGGCCAACAGATGAGGGGCCGAACGTCCACCAATAACAGTCATTATGTAATAAACCAAGTATTACAAAGATCTGTTACCTTTGAATTAATTTATTTTGCTGCATTAATCATGTGTATAACATACAGAACCCTATGTAATAAAAGTAGAGCAATTAAAAGAATATCAAAACCAAAAAGAACACATTACGCCTCCTATTTAACACAAATATCAGTTTGATATCTCTGGCTTTTATTTTTACTTACCTTAATTTTATCTTCAACTGGTTGTAGTTATAACTGTTTTGGGTGTTCGTAGAAATCATTTTTACCATGTTTCTGTAGACACCCACATGCCTATAATTAAAAAAACTTATAACTAAAATAGGAAGCCAGGAGTTTGGGCTCAAGAGATTAATGAACCAATTGGCGGCCGGATTTTGGTCACCAGTGGGCTGGATGTGGCCCGCGGACCGCCAGTTGAAAAGCACTATAGTGATTTTTTTTTAAGACTTTCATTAAAATCTGTCCATTGGGCCATGAGATGCTGTATTTTGCTAAAGCTACAGACAAACACACACAGAAACAAACAAAATTATCATTGTCCATATTATGGCAGAAGGTGATACAAACAAATCTCACTTCATTCATACACAAATAACAGAGCCACAACTGTAGGAGTCAACACTTCCTGTTTCTCTTTATTTATTATCACCTTTATTATCACCCTTTATGTAGTTTGCTTGAACTGAAATTTCTTTTTTCAATTACTAAATTAACTATATTGTAAAAAAATATTATACACATTTATTGTCATATTAGTTAAAGCAAACTGAGAAAAATAAACCTTTTGACAGCTCAAACACACCTGCAGTCATTAACATCAACGTTAAAATATCACGTCTCAAATAAACCAATCAATAACTGGTTTATTTATCAACCGCGTATCATTTTGGCGTGTAACTTGTGAATTAAGTTGCAGAATAAATTTTAGGCAGTGAGAAGTGCAGCAGTTGCTTACAGTAAATGTCACGTTGTTTTAACTCTGCTGTAGCTGCCACAGGTAATGAGCTACAGTAGTTGGTTTTATCTAACAGCGACACTTTTTAAGTCTTATTTTCTTGTTGTTTTATGGGATGTCATCTTAACAAAAAGGGGATCTGCATCCACGCCGTGTAACACAACACTGCTCTCCCCTAATTAAGCACCGTTCTACACTTCCTGTCACTTTCAGTGCGTAAAAACAATGACGTCAGACGTGTGTTGGATGCATTGTCTTAATCTGAGCCCACTTGGCCCCATCACTTTGTTCCCGTGACCCCTCACTGCACACAACCTGCAATTTTTTTTGCTCAGAGAAAAAGAAAACGGTGCAGTGTTAAGTTGCAGTTGTTTATTCCCAGAGCGTGCGCATAACGGTGCTTTAACAAAGAGCAGATTTCACAGAAATGTGACAGTAACAAGGAGGTGAGTTTCTTGAGAGGACAGGGAGGAGAAAAAGGAGATAAATGTGTCAGACTTGTTACCTCATTTACTTTTCTCCAGCCGGCTTCTCTCCAACCAGTCGGGAGCAGATGTGTGTCAGGTTTAAATGCAGGCGCGTATCAGGCTTCTTTACTTTTTCCAGCGCAACAGCAAGAGTCAGAGAAAACGGGGCAGCTGTGTTTGAAGATAATTTTAGAGTCGGGTCAATAAACATTTTCAAA